TGGGGAAACTTTTATTATTAGTAGTAGTAGTAATATTATATTAGTATTATTTTTAACTTAATTTCCATTTTTGTTTATTACAACGATGATATGTTCTTAAATAAAGAAATGAGAATTCATATAACTGATTCAAACATTTTGGAATTGGGGTGTGCTATAATTGTTGTAGCATGTAGGTATGTATTCATGTCAATAAGGTAGTGCCAAAATGGGAAGCTTTACCGTGAATGTCTTTTTTGGCATCATTTAGATTTTGTATTTATTTTTATTTTTAAAAAAATAAGTTATACAAATATAACTGTCAGTTTGCTCAAAAATAATCTTTGAATTGTAATCTAAAAAGTCCATAAATATTAAAAAAGAAAAAAACATTTACAAAAGAATTATACTGAAAAGGGAAAAAAATGGGAAAATTTGAGCTAGAATTGAATCATTGATTTTTTCATGAGTTTGGATGATTTGAGATTTCAAAGGGTTGGTGACCTAAAATCATTCCGAATCCTCTTACAACATATTTGGATAACCACATTGAAATTCAAACGGAGAAAAAAAAGTAATTGTTCATAATGTCAAAATTGTTAGAAGTAAAATGTTGACTTTTAATTTACTCAAAGCAACTGAGGAATTGACTTTAAGGTAAAGATAAATGGAAATATATTTCCTTTTTTAAAAAAAAATAAAAAAATCTTGCGATATTTCCAACATATCCCAAATTAGAGGAAAATAGAGAAGGGAAAATTACGCAGTTAAGCAAATTTATACTACTTAATTACTCATCATAGCTATAGTTTGCTATAATTATCACTCATGACTAACATTATACATTAGTTACGTGGGATGACTTCGAGTTTGTATAATTAGTCACGTTTGTATATGTATAATTCGCAAAAAAATACAAATACATATGTTTAATATACAATTATCTAACCGATATACATATACATTTCACCTCTCTCCCACTCTTTGCCCTCTCTCGCTCGCCTCTCTCCTCCCTCTCCCAATCTCGCTTGTCATAGATACAAATGCATATGTATAATATACAATTATCTAACCGATATACATATACAATTTACCTCTCTGCTCTCTCTCGTTCGCCTCTCTCCTTCCTCTCCCAATCTCGGTCACCTCTCTCCTCCCTCTTCCAATCTCGCTCGCCTCTCTCCTCCCCCTCCCAATCTCGCTTTCCATATATACAAATACATATATATAATATACAATTATCTAACTGATATACATATACAATTCACCTCTCTCCCACTCTTTGCCCTCTCTCGCTCACCTCTATACTCTCTCTCCCAGTATCGCTCGCCTCTCTCCTCCCTATGACATGTAGCTAGGAATTGTAATTATCAAACTATATATATGGAGAGTAATTAGACAATTTTTGAGTGGCTATATGTGAAAGACGTTCAATAGGGAATTGGAAGTGTAGTAGTGAAATAGGCCCATTAACTTGTTGAAACAAAATGGCAAATGGAGTGAGGCCCAGGAAATTGTTGTTAGAGTTTAGTGTAGCCCATTAATGAAGTTTTGTTGAAAGCAGCATTATGAGGTCCGTCGATGAAAAGTTACTAATAAGAAAAGCAACTACTCCTTTCAGCTTAATTTGTTGTACTCTATTAGTTTATAGGACTGTAAAAACATACTATGAGATTTCCCATCCCACAAATATGAAACGTACGTTTTTTTTTAAGTAACAAGAAAGTAGGCGGAGCACGTAAATTAAATTAGTATATATATCACCCTATATATTCCACATTATAATTATTTACTTGTCCCATTTCAATATTCTTTCGAAATATAGTGGAGTATGTACTCACTAAATATACATAAATGTATTACCCTGTTACACCATGCAAGTGCAATTGGATTGGAAATTAAATACAAATGATAGATTGTTTTTGTGTGTGAAACTAATTACTCAAACACATGCATGCTGCAATAACATCAAATTTGCAAATCACGTTATATTTATCATTTGTATTCCCTTGTTACAAACTAAACTACTCCCTAGTTATTATATACTATGTGAAGAAGAGAAAAGAGAGTTTGAATAGAATTAGTGTTGAGAGAGATTTTCTTGGGCATGTGCAAAATTATTAATAGCAGTAGTAAATATGGAAATAATCTTTAATTTCAACACAAGTTAATTAGAGGAAAGCAAAAATTCTTCAAACAAGTCTCTCAGAATTAATTAAGGACCAAGTTGAACTATTAATTAATACAGATCAGATTGCATGTGCTCCCTTAATTAAGGGTTATTGATTTTAATTTTAATTATAAGGGGTAATCCAATCATCGGTCTTCCGTACAAACCACTATAAATAAATAAAACTAATTAATTAAAATGCGTTAATAAGATCTTCATTCAACTGCACAAATGATTGATTGATCAATTAATAGTATACATTTTCTTCATGCCAACTCCCATTCCACATGATATCAACACCTTTCTTTGTTTGTTTCATATATATACGCGTACGTCGAACACAAATTAGGCGACGTGAAGAAGAATGTTCCTTTATTATAATTCCTTTCCTCTATCAATATTATAACAACTAACTAATAAACTGATGCATGCATGGCCCCAAATATATATGCTAAATATTATAAGGTTAAAACTCCTCTAATTATTTATGCCTTAATTTGCTTCAAATATCTACCAAGGGACAAGTTGAGATGTTACTTACAACTAAAAAGAAGAAAACAACACAAACTTAGGAAAGAAGACGCACGTAATATTTGGCCTCACTAGTCTCAATATTCCTTTCAAGTCTTTGTCAACCCACCAATTTATCAAAATTATATATATTTACTGCTTTCTTTTTTCCAATACCACACCCTCTTCTATCTTAATTTATGAGATATTATTTGATTATGATAAATGTATCATCTAAAATAAATTTTAGATTTTTTTTGAATGATCTAAACAATTAAAGATTCAAAAGTTAAATTGTTTAGAAAGTGACATTTTCTGAGTAAAATTATATATATAATGGTGCCTTTGGTGTATCAGTAACATATATTCTCTTTTTCTTGTCCTTTCCCACCGCCTTTAAGAACTTTATTCCATTCCCTCTTTTTATTTCATTTTTGTTTTCTTTTGCAGTCACCGTAAGCAAAAGTTGAAATGATTTTTACATACATATTGTTTTTATTCAGTTTTGTACAAGATTAGTGAGTGAGCTAATTTTTCATATCATTAATTTCAAATTTTTAATTTGTATTTGTATATTTAGATATCAAAATCATGCGATGAGAATCAATGGAATGCATTATATATTTTCCTTGTATTGAAAAATGTTAGAGGTAATAAGGTCTACGTACGATTATTTTCTTATATTCATATAATTGTGAGATTATACTAATGATGTTACTGTTTTAATAAAAAAAAAAGAATCAAGTTTGATTTCATTTTAACGTGTTAATCAACATATATCATATTAGAATCATCTTTCTTTAAGAATCGCTAATTCACCAATATTCTTCCACTTGAATAATCATGCATGCTGATGAGGACCATTCTCCAAACTCAACTCCATTATTATTATTATTTAATTCACTCATTCATACCTTGTTTTCATTTATTTCAAATTTGAATAAGGAAATATATTGTGTTAATTACAATGAAAAACAATGAGGAATTAGAAACTGTCAGGATCATCCACCTAACCTGTGTTTTTTAATCTCACAATATTTAACTTGCTTGAAAAGAGTAGTTGTAAGATACATGAAGACAGTTTCCCTAACTCGATGACCAATAATAGTCACAATACATTATTAGTTTCTAGAAAATTAAATTCAGAAAAGCAAAAGCCGTCTAAATCAAAATATAAATGGTCCTCTGTTCAGACGACGCATAAAGAAATTTATGTTTTTGTCTTTCCATTTGGTGTCCTCTACTCATTTTTGGGAATTTTAATAATTTGGATTGGCATTAAGAATTTTCACTTTTGCAAGGTATATTACTTTTTAGTATAGACAGCTTTAGTTTTTATGATTCGAATTCAAAAATTTTAAGATTAAAGATAGAAAATCATTCTATCAAAATGTTTGAAGATTAAATTAAGAATCAAAGATGTATTGCACTTGTCACTCGATAGTCCACATAGTGGTACTGGCGTTGTTTTTCTAAAATTGAAGAAATTGCCGTACGGCATGGGGTGCAATATGTTGACATTATATTTTGGGTTATAAGCGGTCCAAGTCTTACCTAATCAAATTAGGTGTTGCTAGTTTTTAGAGATGATTAAAGACGTCCACAATGTTTTAGGTAGGTGTGACTATTTAGGAATAAACCTAATGCACTTCTTTAACTTTTACCCTTTCTTCATCATTTACTTGTAACACTCAATCTAATTCTATTTTTATATCGAATAGTTATTATCATGCATTTATATAATTAGATAACTCTCATCTCCATCTTTTTTAAATAAAAAATCATTCGTAATGTTGGAGTTGTTTGGACGTTAATTTCACGAAACCATTTGTAGGAATTATCAAATTAAATGGTGATGAGTCGAAATAAATTGATTTAGTTAACGAATGAGTTAATTTTTGAGTTGAAATGAGACGCATTAAAATGAGTCATAGGTCCAACTCTTTCAACTTTTATTAAATTGGAACTTAATTAGTATTTCATTGCAAATATACCAGCTTAATTTAATTGTTAGAAATACTATGAACCGATCTATAGACTCTTGTGGGACAGAATCAATTTGATCAACTAATTGAACCTATATATATGCTACAAATATGATTAATTAACATATATTTTTGCCTAATTAAATAATTTAATTTGAGTAAATATCCTTAAAGTCCACACCGGAAGTAGTATATCATGTGTATGAGCTGGTGTTTCAGTATTACGAAAGTACCCCTAACTTTTACAGATCCAAAAGTATTAACATTCCAGCTCGCAGGATTAGAATGAAATTTGGCCGCGAATCTCGGAAAATCCGGGCAGGCGTTTTCAAAATTAATTTAGATGATGAGTAGTATTTGAGAAATAACAAAAATGTTAAGAGTAAAAAAGTACTGTAGTAGTATATGTCAATCACATTTTCGTGCTGAAGTCCTCCTCCACATAATATTTACAGAGACTCGGAAAGAAAGGGGGAAAAAACAGAGAAAACATGATCGATCGATCTGCTCTACCTAACCGCTAATTCCACTGTTGGAGAGGAGAAAAATGGTGCTAAAGCAAGTCATCGGAGAGAGCAGTGAGAAGATCCTGAAGGTCATCACCGATCCGAAGAGCCTCAAGTACTCGTTCAAAGATGAGAACATGACAGGGGATACGAAGAACACCTCTCTGTTCGTAACCATACTCTTGAGCAGACTTATTCAAGAGCTCAACAAAGATAGGATGGTTGAGAAGGTCAGCACTTACAATAAATCTCTCCATCTCATCACCGACGTAAACAGGGAGGTGTCCTTCAGGAACTCCGGTGCCGGATCTGAGCTTTCCGGTACGGAAGGATTGGAGACGACGGGGACGAGAGGAGGAGCGGGATTCAGAACGGAGCAAGGAGTAGTTAGAGGAGGAATCAGCTACACGCGATAAACGTCGAATAAGTTTCTTCATGTTTTTGTTGTTGATGTTGATTAAGGGGAGGGGCAATAATAATTATGGAGAAATGTGTGAGTTGTGTGTGTGTGTGAGGAAGTTGAGGGAGAAAGAGTGTGGGGGTTGGTGCTTTATATAGATAGATAGATGGGTGTTTTATTAAAGAAACAAGGGATAGTTAGGAGGTACAGATAGACGTACTTGGCAGGTACAATTATTGTTAGTGGGGATGTGTGCACATTTCTATTTTCCCCCCCCTTAATTACCTACTAATTTCACTACATTAATTAATCAAACACTTGACTACATCCATCCAAAACTTATTATTATGTAAAACATGGAAAATACATTTTCTTTAACTTTCACATTTTTATTTTTTACTTAATGAGGACTCGATTTGCCTTATATATTCTTCAATTAGTGAAATTCTAAGGTTAGAGTCAAATACAATAATAGTGAAGTAAACAGAGAATTGCAACTAGTTATTCTATTACCGTATGTAATAAACAATTGAGCACAAATACATATCTATATTTTCTTAATTAATCTATCTCTCTTTGTCCATATATACTTTCCGTTCATTTTTACTTGTCACTTATTTCTAAAATAATTTTTACATTTTCACTTGTCACTTTTGACATATCAAAGAAAAGATAAATATATTTTTCCATGTTTTACCTCAATATTAAATACTCTTTCTCCAAATCATTTTCCAAGACTTAATACTAAAAATTATTTAATAGGGATAGTTTGATAAAATATCTATATCAATAATTATTTTCTTAATGGATATGTCAAGTCACACAGTGACAAATGTAGACAAATGGAGTGTATTCCAAATCTAGGCAAAGGAACAACTTAAAATTGGTGTGAAGTGTTTGAGGAAACTATCAGTATATAATTACTCCATTAAGAAAGAATATTGGTTACAAGGTACATGAGTACAAATGGACCGTATAACTAACGATACCTACCAATACCATAAACAAAACAAAGCTTGGGGGGAAGTAATTTAGGGAAAATTGTCTTAATTTTAGGTAGCATTCACTTTGTAGACATCACTAATTATGTGTACCTAGACAAGTTTGAGATTGATGGGGTACACGCATACCTAGGGATTGGTTTGACGGTAATTAGCCCCAATTTACTTCATCATTAATTAAACAAAGAATGTTAATATTATAGATTAATTGGAATGAGTAATAAAGAAGCAAGTAAATATTGTTGTAGATAACAATAAGAAAAGAAATTGCTACCAGTGAAACTTTGGCATATGGTAAAAAACACTAAAACCTATAAGCTAAGGTGACACATTCATGGAGTTATATCTCCCGTCAAATAAAAACTAATACTCAAACAAATTTACAAGTAATTAATTACATGTACTGTCAAAAGTTACAGTAAAATAGTATATACTCTTTCATTTAAAGCATATAGCGAGACGTGGATTACTAATACCATATAAAGAAAAATAAGGCTAATTACATCACTAACCAATGCGGGACATCAAACATATCCCCTCACGTTCAAACCTAATAATTAGAGTGTGAACAATATATAATGGGTTTAATCATAATATGAAAATGGATATAGAAGAGTCTAATTCAACTACGAATCTCACTAGTTCTACTTTTTGAAAAGAGTTTTTGTTGTGCTACTTCTGACAGTCCTGACTCCACAACCGATTGTTGATAATCTCAAAATGCGATTTCTTAATATGAATTCGAATTGATCAAACTCGAAAGTGATTATTGAAAGGAAAAAAAATATGATTAAGGTGATCATATTTTAGGGGAGAAAAAACAAGTGGCCTTGCGTGAAATGGAAACTAACAAAAGGAGGAGCCGAAAATAAGTAGTGGAAACGTTGGAGTCGTGATATTATAATGTGTTTTCATGGAAAAGTTGTGTTTGTTAAGGCAAGCCTACCCTGCTTAATTTGTGTATCATCCTTTTCCAAGCAAAGTTTCCGTGATACATATTCTCCTTTCCTCCTACGTATTTACTCATTCAATATTCTAAAAGTTGTGTAACACCAACAAAAAGCATAATCATATTTATGGAATATTCTTATCTGTCATTAAATTTTGTGGAATTCTTCTTGAAGAAATATTTTTAAATTAAATATATTTTGGAATATATATTCATAAAAAGATCAAGACATCAAATATCAAAGAGAAGAGTAAGTGGAAGCAGGGGCGTATGCAGGATGGAGTCATCGGATTCACGTGAATCCATATATGCTCCTCTCCCGAAATCATATATATATATATATATATATATATATATATATATATATATATATATTTCAATAATAAAAACCTAAATGTCAATCTTATCAATTTTGTATCTTAGATCTACCTTTTCATAATAGTTCACCTATCATTTCGAAATCTTGAATACACCTCTACATGAAAGGAACATAATTATACTCACAATCTTGATGGATAAAATCTTTTTTTTTTTTAATTCTAGAAAGTATTTTTTTGTATTAATTTGAGAAAATTTGTTGGAAACAATTATACTAGTATTTGATGACAATATCTATGCTAACTTTCGCAAAATTATTTTATCTGTTTTGAATCTTTTACAACAGGGAAAAGAAACAATTTAGTAATTTATGGAAGAGGGAGTGTAGAAATGGGAAGAAATTAAATGAATCTTGTCTGCAGACAATCCCCCATTCCTCAGATCGCAGAAGAACAAGTCAACTGAGACACCAAAATCGAGACCCCTACTATATATATATCAATGAAATCGAATCATTTCAACTATACTAAAACTCTATTAATTCACCAATTCATGTCCTCTACACTGTCTTTAAAACAATATGATAGTATTACATGATGATAATTACAATTATCCACGTTACATACTTACTAATTACTATATATGGTGGAGTAGTCTTTTTTTAATAATCATCGATTTCTGCTCATCTCAACTAATTTCACTAATATATTTTAATTACCTCTCCCCAACATCAAACATAAATATCCATGGTTCTTGAATCCACCGTTAGGTGCAACTATGAAAGGAGTATTAACGTACATATGTTATAGGTTTTTTAAAAAAAAATCTTGGTCAGAAATGTTAGTGTACGTAGTATCAAATATCCATGCCTTGCAGCAGACTGAGAGCACGTGGCCAACTCTAAAAACCTCAGATGATCAACTGCCATTCTTCAATCCTATCACAATTCAGAAGATACATTGAACTGCCAGACAGCCATAATCGAACATTTTCACCTATATATATATATATATATGATCTTTTGGGATAAAAGATCTTCTAGACAAGCTGGATAACTATTTATACAGAGTATGTAATTTATTACTAGTATCTGGAAAGGACATATATCCAACTACTACGTATAATTACCTAAACTATTTTATTTAAGTAATTCAATTTTGTGCGCACCAGATCGATTAGAATAAAATAATAATAATTATAATATGGTCCATAAAGCAAATGCAGAACCAATCGAATACAGACATATGTTGTAATTTTTAGACAAGTTCGTTTTTGGTAGTTGTTGATAGGAGAAACTAACATGGCCGCACGCCAATAGATGAAATTAGCTAGTGAATAAGACAAGTACTTAATACAAATTAATGTCTTTAATTCATTTGTTATCTCTCCTATCCCACCATGTCTATATATCTATAAGTTATAACCCTACGTACCTTGATAGTTCCATTTCACATGAATCCCACGCCACTACTTTTTTAAAAAGATGTCCTTTGAAATTAACTTGCTTGAGTAACATAATTAGTTGCCGCCCCCATTCTCAAAATTTTCTTTCCACATAATTAAATTGCTATAGTTGATTCTTCAAATAATAACTAGTCTTTTTTCTTTTGAAATAAGGGGACTAAATAACTAAATACTCCTATATTGTTTGAACGCCCGAAAAAAAATGTATAAATGACATTATATTTGTATTCTTTAAGTCTTGTTACTTATTATAAGAAGTTAACATAGCATGATACTGTTTTGACTTAAATAATTCAAAATTACTCTTAATATGATATGTTTTTCGCCAACAAGCTCATCATTTACTTCTTTTTCATGTATGCTTATTTAAAATTATGGGTAGCAAATGGATAATTAAAGACATTAAGTTAGGCCATTTGCTATCACTCCACCTTTTCATAATCATCTTGTTAAGATTTATTATATTTTAAGGAAAAATATGCATATAATATTATTCGTTTTAATTTACATACGCATAATAAATTTCATCAAAAATATCTCACATTCAATTAAAAATACTCTAAACCTTATATACAATTCTCTTTACATTTTAAGCTATTTTTTCGCACACTCAGAAGATATTATAAATTGATCGTATATTATTTAAACTATTGATTGATTAAATACGCTCTTGGTAATTTTCTCTTCCATTGTTTTTTATATCACAAGATTGTTGAGTACGGAAAAGAAGAAATGGGACCCATTTTTAATTAGTAAACGAATATTTTGTCCATCGGATTCTTTAAATAATTGTATTAATTAAAGAAACAAGTGGCGTGATTTTTTCTTAGTTGCCGTACAGTCAAATAGTACACGAAAAGTGGGCCCCTAATTAATTTACATTAAAAAGAAAAAAAAGAGACAACCGGACATGACGTGAATATCCACGAACCGCCCTTTCTTTTTGCGTCAGTTACGTTGCTTTTTACGTCCCACGCAAATATGCCCTTTAATACATCCCAAATTAATAACGTTTTTTTAATTTTTCAGTAAAACAATATATTTTGCTTTTCATATTCTTCTAACCCCACCTTGTTAAAAGATTATCTTCACTTTTATTTAATTTAATTAATAAAAAAAATCAATTATATCAAATAAAATATTAGTATTACTGAGTAAGGGTGATTCAGATTGTTCTTTTAAAAAGGGTTCATGATATTCAAAATTGGACCCACTTTTGCTGAAATTTCTATACAAGCCTTGACTCTTATATAGTAAAAAAAGTAATGAAAGAAAATAGCAAAAAAAGTAATGAAAGAAAATAGCTTTCACAATAACTCCATAGTTATGGACAAAACAAATAAAAGTAGGAC